ACCGTGCCGCCCGATATTGCTCTGATTGCTTCACCTTGTATCTTATGACATTTTCCGCAAACAGACTTTATTGGAAAATCTAAAACCTGAAAGGATTCAAGATCTTTTTTGAGGCCCAGAATCAACAACACACACATTTTATACAATTCATGGCGAGGAACAGCCAAGAACACTGTCTTCTTTCATATTTGCAACAATAACACAATAATTATACAGTGGGACTCGTTGTGTTACTTTCCTTGTTACAATTATCTGGCTCCGCTCCAGGCCAAACCTCAGCTCTCATTTTAGTTCAGAACCATTCACACTTCCCCAAACAAACAAGTTATTATTTCATCAAACGGCAAAAGACTAGCTCTGTGTGTGTGTGTGTGTGTGTGTGTGTGAGAGTGTGTGAGAGAGTGAGTGTGTGTGTGTCTACAGAGCCTCAGACAGTTCATCTATAATGGAGACATTTCATTTCCAACATCACTATAACATCAGCAAAAACGTTCAAACATATTGTTTTGGCAATAACTTCCAATCACAGAACGTTCTGTGCTGAATCTGTCCAATACGTCAAAGAGCTGGAAGTATTTTTCCTTGTTGACATTTCTTGACGTGCATTTCCTTGTTCTGCGGTCAGCCTCTGCGGTCAGGTGTGATGCACATGAGGCCCGACGACCAATCAGAGAGCAGCACATTCGCTGCTTTAAGATTTCAAACTTGATCTCGAGACTAAAGAACAGACCTGAAACTGAATGCTGTTGTGAACTGAGTGGAGTTTCCAGCTTTCAATTCAATTCCATTTATTTTGTACAGCCCTGAATCACAACAGCAGTTGTCTCTGAGAACTTTAGAAGGTTGTTGATTCTTCAACAACAGATCAGAGAATAAAATGCAATAATAACAAACACGTAGAAGCCGTTGGTATTTATGGACTACTGCCCATAAATATTCTTAAATGTCCCATCACTGAGACCCTCTTGCATCGGCAAGGAACAAATCAAAACTGTGAGAAACCTCACGGAGGCTCATATTGAAAGAGGGATCCGCTCCCAGGCAGACAGGCCATACTGTAGGTCCAGGATTCAGGCAAGAAGCTCAGTCCTGCACAGGACTTTATGGTTTTCTAACCATAAATAAATAATAGTTGTCTGTCCTAACTGTAAGAGTTTTGTAAAAGAAACATTAACAGTAAGAGCTTGGACTGAAATTTAAAATTGATTATCTAGTTTCCTGTAAAAAGATGTAAGAAATATCTTCCTTGGAATGAGAAAAAAGGCAACAGTTGAAATAAAACTAAATGTGTCCCATTGTTAAATGTTGTCCGTCAGAATGTGCTCAAATTCATAGAAAAACCACTTGATTTAGAAATGTGTTAACTCAAATTGTATTACTTTTGCTGTGTGGTCAGCCTCGTCTCCACAGTATACATGTTCAGAGCTGTGTGTTTAGGCGTCTGCACTGTTGCCTGGTTGAAAATCTCCCGGACACATGACCCCGTTGTATAGGCAGCGACAGCCCCTGACCCGTCACCGCCGCCCATCCATCTCCGGCCGTGCTGATTGGCTCTAATTGTGCGTAATTTCCCGTGATTGGCTGTAATTGGCCTGAGGCAGTAATCTGATTGGAGATGAGAGGAGCGGAGGGTCCCAGGGCGGTTTGTGTGCAAGTATCCCCCCCACCTCCCCTCCCCGGGGTGGATACATCAAACGTACCCTCAGAGTCAGCTGCGAGAGCGCTCCTGATGGATGATGAGACGTGTGTTTGTGTTTGTGCTAACACGCTAACGAGAGGACAGGCAGCTGCGTATGAGAGCGCTCACATACTGTCACATGTCCGGATCAAAAGAGACAGTGTAAGTGGAACAGGCCCTTTATGAGTAGAGTTTGCATGCTCTCCCTGTGTCTACTCTGCACTGCAAAAAAAGACAATAAATGATGTATTAAATGCTTGAATTGTGTAGTTTTTTTAAATCTTAATTTGAGTACATTCTGACTTTCTTAGAAGGTCTCTGGTCTCTCTCTGGTCTCTCTTTGGTCTCTCTGTGGTCTCTCTTTGGTCTCTCTGTGGTCTCCCTCTGGTCTCTCTCTGGTCTCCCTCTGGTCTCTCTCTCTAATATCTCCATTTAGTTCATTAGTTCAGTTAGTTTATCATCACCGTGGATGCAGTGAAATGCCATGTGAAGCGTTTTTGAGTGCCCTGAAAAAGCTAGAAAGCACTATTATTATCATCACTTTGTGGGACATCACTGGTGGTCAAAACCGGTGTATAGACATTAGTAAAGTGCATCCAACTCACGACAGAGAAATATATAACGGCCCCAAAGGTCTCTGTAGTTGGAGAAGCTCTGTCTGCAGCCGCCTTAACTACATGATGCTTCACCAACAACGATACAGCTGGACTTTTAACATGAATGTGCTGGGCTTGTGTCCATGGCTCTTCTCCTGCAGGCCCCTGACATCAGAGAGGAGAGAGAGAGAAGAGAGAGGAGAGAGGTAGGAGAGAAAAGAGAGAGTGAGAGAGAGAGGTGGGAGAGGAAAGAGAGATGAGATAGGATCGAGAGTGGAGAGAGAAGAAATATGTAAGAGGAGAGAAAGGAGAGAAAGAGACTAGAGGTGAGAGACAGGAGAGAAAGGAGAGCGAAAGAGGGGAGAGAGGTGAGAGAGGAAAGAGATGAGAAAGATGTTCTTGAGGTCAGAGGAGAAAGAGAGGAGAGAGGTGAGAGATAAGAGAGAGAGAGAGTGTTAAGATTGGAAAGAGAGAAGAGAGAGGAGAAAGATGTAAGAGAGGAGAGAAAGGAGAGAGAGTGGAGAGATGAGAAAGAGGAGAGAGAGAAGAGAAAGAGGAGAGAAAGAAGAGAGAGTGGAGAGATGAGAAAGAGGAGAGAGAGAAGAGAAAGAGGAGAGAAAGGAGAGAGAGTGGAGAGATGAGAAAGAGGAGAGAGAGAAGAGAAAGAGGAGAGAAAGGTGAGAGAGGAAAGAAAGAAAAGAGAGGGGAGAGATAGAAGGTAGGAGAGAAAGGAGAGAGAGGTGAGAGAAAGGAGAGAGATCAGTCCAGTGGCACCACAACACACAACCTTTATATTATTGTTTCCATGAATGTGAAAAAATAACACAACGCTGCAGTAAAGCATTGAAAAGGAGATAAGAAAAGGGGCAGTGACTCCACATTAAACTGGAATGAAAGTCTGGAGCTGCTTCACGTCTGGTTCACACGCAGCAGCGGCTTCAAAGAGACGACTTTTGGATCTGTTTCACCGGCGTAATATCCACTTCACGTTCTTGTGTCTTTTGAAATCCAGTTTTACATGAATCATCATTTAGCTGTCGTTGTAAATTGCCTCCATATTTCCTTAATCCTTCAGTGGATCACAGGGCGGCGGGTGGAGGAGTAGAGAGAGCTGGTCTGCAGGAGACTGTGGCGGCCATCTTGGATTTTTTCAAGAAACCATGAACTTGTTTGCTGCTATCAATGAAGACCAATTAATTCTTTGACCTTAAAACTGCACTAACTGACTTTATTTTTGTATTAATTACGAAAGTGCTATCCATGTTCATGTAGTGCATTGGGATATACGTCCTTTTGAGGAAAAAGTAGCGCAGGTTTGTGCTGGCGTGACATTATATTTTAGATTGAGTTTTGATGAAACAAGGAAGAGAATGTGTTTCGGGTCGCAGATTGTGACCAATCACAGCGCACCACTGGCCCCCACTTTCGTGAGAAATCTACAGGTCCCTGTTAGCATAGACAGCTGAGTTAGCACAACAAGCGGCGGAGCTAACCTGAAACTTTGTCTTCGTCACGGTTACTGCTTACACAGCAAGACAGCCATCGAAAAGAAAGTCCCGTTCCTCCGTGCTTCCCGGTTCTATCGTTCTATGGTCACGCCATCCACGTGCAAATCCATGCATTTATCCATATTGGGAGACGATAGCTCCGTCCCAACAGTGAGTGTGTGTGGGGGGAGATAGCTTCGTGGGTGCGGGGAGGGGAGCAGAAAGAGCGAGGCCAGCGAGTCCATGGCTTCAAAGTACCAAAGTCAGTTAGTGCAGCTTTAAAATAGAAACAGTAAAGACATAAGTTTGATCATGAGTGACAGATGATATAGATTAAAAAGGCCAATTGTCAAAGTATTTTAAGCTGGGGGATCTAACTTTCAAATTACAACCATAGAAATATACGTGTATTAACATTCTGCCTCCGAAAACGTTGGTTGACCGTCTCAATAGCTTTCAAATAATGTTAGTTTGGCCTCTATCTCATCTTTAGAGCATCCTTTTCAGGCAGAAAAGTGAAAAAGAGTCCACTAATTTCAGTAGCATATAGCCGTTAGCATATAGCTGTTAGCATATAGCTGTTTGTATATAGCCAATAGCATATAGCTGTTAGCATATAGCCGTTAGTATATAGCCATTAGCATATAGCCGTTAGCATATAGCCTTTAGTATATAGCCGTTAGAATATAGCCGTTAGCATTGGAATAAAACACAGAAAGCATGACCAGTCCGTAAGCCTTCGGAAGCTAAGCAGGGCAGGGCCTGGTTATTACTGTGATGGGAGTCGATGTTGTAAGTGGGTGTGTGAATGGTTGGTGGTCAAAGGGGCCGATTGCACACACTGGTTGCCTCGCTTCTGTCAGTATGTCCCAAGGCAGCTGTGGCTATAGAAGTAGTTTATCACCACTGTGTATGGAGTGAAAGAATAATGACATGTGAAGTATTTTTGTGAAGTGTCCCCACGTTCTTAAATCTGCTGCTGTGGTCTCAGTAGTATCCATGTTACACAGTTTGGTCCAGGTTTACAAGTCACTAGTGCCATTCAAACATTCTCGCCGGGTCACTGTATAAACAACTGTGAGTGTGTACAGCAAATGACAAGGGAGAAATACTAGATTTAGATTCAGGTTATTTGTCATTTGCATTAAAACCACAGTGAAATACATGTGTTAAAGTCCCCAGTGTGCACCAGACAAGTACATAAATAAAACAAACTAAAAGAAAAGGAATGGGCAACACTGAGAACAGTCCGTCTTGGTTCTTCTCCAGTGCATCTGTGAGGGCCGTGCAGTCTAGAGCCCCGTGCCTCGTACAGGACACACATGCTGGGTCTTCACGAGGCGAGGGGAAGCCTGGACGTGGCAGAGGAGATGGTAGGAAAACAGAAACTCTATCCAGGCCTAATTTGAATCAGATTTTCAGCTGAATCCGGAGCCGTGTGAGAAAGTGTCCAGACGTCTCTTTGAATTACAGCGGCCAGACGAGTGCGGAGAAGCGAGCGCGCTGCGGTCGTGGGCTCTCAGTGGGGCTTACAGTTTAATATGGCTTTATGGAGGTTTCACAAAGACTTTGCAGTGATGGGGATATATGTCTTAAAGCTGGGGTACCCAACTTTCAAAGTATAACACATTTTTACTGGGTAATAAAAGCCATGTACCTGGTTCCTCGCTCTCAAATCAGTTTGGTTCTATTTAGTTTTCACGTCACATATTTTTTTCCCTCTGTCACATCTTTGAGATCAGCCGTTCCAGACAGAAAGTGAAAAACAGGAGACCACCCTCCCTCAGCCAATCAGCTTCCAGGCCAAAGAGTCAAATAGTGACTCACAGGGCTTTATCCTACACAAAAGATAACATGTTTTCTAATAAGATAAAGATTGATTTGTTCACATTAACTTTTACAAGACTCTTTCTATTGGGTCAAACATGTGATATTTCCAAAACTTGAATGTAAATATGGGATTTTTGTTCTGGCCTCCTCCTAGTCAGAACTAAACAAGGGATGGCAGCATTTCAGATTAATGCAGCAAAAATCTGAGACAGTCTTTCTGAAAATGTGAGACAAGCTTCATCTCTGACAAATCCAGGTTAAAACTGTTATTTTTAACTGTGCACACAACTGAGGGATAACCCTTTACTCCTTTTAATGTACTGTGATTATTAAAGCCTTGTATTGTTTTCACTCTTGTTTTGTTCAGCACCTTGAGTTGTCTTGTGGATGAACTGTGCCATACAAATAAACCTTTCCTTGCCTTTACTGTAGTATCTGTAAGTTTGGTCATTCAGCTCTCTCCTCATGCTGGCCGCCCAGACAGCTCAGGTGAATCCAAAGTGTGGAGTTTCAAAGTGTGACCGAGGCCTGACCGCTCTCTTGGCGCCTCAAAGTGACATATATAGCCGCACTTATTTATTATTCATAGGTGATTATTGACACACACTTGTCTCTGAGCTCCTTGTAAAAGAATAACAAATGACGAGCGGCTGTTTTAAGTCATTACACCATGAAAAGACCGTTGTATCTCACACAGACACTGCTTTACAAGACACTGGTGTGTTCCTTCACACGCCGTTCACCAATCATTTTATTCATTCATTTTTTTTCAAGCCCTTTGTCCATTTCTGGGTCAGGGGGGTGGCAATGAGAGCTGCCACCCAATGCTCATAGCACCAGTCCCTCGCTGATCTTCTGCAGGGGGTGAGTCCACAGGAAGATGGCTGCTCCATCAATGGTGAAACAGCCTTGGTCTTTCAGTGGGGGCTTCAGGCAACGTGGGGTTAAGTGTCTTGCCCAAGGACACAACGACACCAATCATTTTATAATGATAATAATAATGCGTTGGTTTTATAAACAGCTTTTCAGGACACTCAAAAATGCTTCTTTCACTCACATACACTTCTACTGTAGCCACAGCTGCCCAGGGGCACACTGACAGAAGCAAGGCAACGAGTATGTACCATCAGCCCACACACACACACTCTAATGTGGGTGAAGTGTCTTGCCTAAGGACACAACAGCAGTTTAGCACTTTACAGCCGTAGCGGCCCCACTGTGGCACCCGGTGTTACCAGGTGTCTCCCATCACAGGACTAACCAGGTCTTGCCCTGCTTATCTTCAGAGGTGTGACAGGATCTGGCTTTCACATGCAGGTAAAGCCACATCTCACATCATGACACACACAGCATCTGCCACAGCGCGTCATTATTTATATATTTCAATTAGATTGAAAAAGAACAAGGCACAGATTTAGAGAAAATTTGAAAATCGTTCAAAGATTTCCTTCTGTAATGCACCTTACTATGTGAAACCAATATATTAAGATCCTGGAGAAATGTCAGTGTTGCATCCCATGTTACAGAACAGTATGAATGAGGAGCACACAGCACAAGATAAGTGATCAATAACTCTATACTAAATTAAAATATACAGTAATACATCTCTAACGTTAGCATTAGCATTATAAAGCAGAAAGTATAAAATTATCCATAGTAAGTTTGTCCCTCTCCTCTGCCTCTCTCCCACACTGGGCCGGTCTCCCCCTCTCCTCTGCCTCTCTCCCACACTGGGCCGGTCTCCCCCTCTCCTCTGCCTCTCTCCCACACTGGGCCGGTCTCCCCCTCTCCTCTGCCTCTCTCCCACACTGGGCCGGTCTCCCCCTCTCCTCTGCCTCTCTCCCACACTGGGCCGGTCTCCCCCTCTCCTCTGCCTCTCTCCCACACTGGGCCGGTCTCCCCCTCTCCTCTGCCTCTCTTCCACACTGGGCCGGTCTCCCCCTCTCCTCTGCCTCTCTTCCACACTGGGCCGGTCTCCCCCTTCTCCTCTGCCTCTCTTCCACACTGGGCCGGTCTCCCCTCTCCTCTGCCTCTCTTCCACACTGGGCCGGTCTCCCCCTCTCCTCTGCCTCTCTTCCACACTGGGCCGGTCTCCCCCTCTCCTCTGCCTCTCTTCCACACTGGGCCGGTCTCCCCCCTCTCCTCCCCCCTGATGGCTGCAGTGGCAGATGGAAGTGATTATGCAGTAATAATAAAGTGTGCAGCCGACAGTGCCATTGTGCTCACGAGCCAGAGCACGTGTCTGTCAGCGCCAGGGCCCATTCCCATCAGGCTGACGGGCCGGACCTCCACCACATCACAGGGACACGCCCACCACGACTGCTGCTAAGCAACAAGGGAAAACTGTCGAGAAGAGAAGAAACACTACAATTCAAAGGGACAAGTTTTTAGGATTTTTAAAGTTTTGGCGTTTTTGGAGGAATGACGCGGGAAATCCCTCTCTCGTCTCCAACTGGATCAGAACGCAGCAGCCAGACTTTTCACTGGTTTTAAAAGAAGGGAGCACATTACCCCTATCTTAGCACGCCTCCACTGGCAATACTAAAACCTGTGCGTAGTATTGATTTTAAGATTTTACTTTAAACCTTTAATAATTTACTCAACCATTTGGTAGATCACCATTTGAGTCAATATTCTCACTTGGTTGTAGGCACCATCAAACTGCAACTCAACCATTTGGTAAAGGCCTGTAGTAATAGGGGTTCAAAAAACATTGTTTTTATAATTAGTGCTCCTACAGTACTTTTTTTTTTTTTACATTGCTTTCTTCAACGAGTGAATGTTAAAGGGTTAATACTTGTTTAGGTAACTTTTAGCCCCCTACGCAAAGGTGACCAAGTCTTCTCTGTCCGTGCTCCTCGGCTCTGGAAAGACCTGCCCGAGGAGATAAGGCTACCACCATCTATAACCTCTTTGTCACTATTTAAAAGCCACTTTTATCGAACAGCCTTTAAACTTGTTGTATTTTACTGTCCCACTTTGTCTTTCTTGTTGTGTTCCCTCTGTCTGCTTTGTTCTATTGTATCTCCTTTTAATTATTTTGAGTGTGCTCAAATGAAGATATATTTTCCCAAACTTAAGATATGTTTGTCTTGTTTTTCATCACTTTTTGCAGTGCGTACAGACGATAGATCAGAGAGGACACTGAGATCAAACTGCTTCATTCTGGAAATTGAGAGATCCAATCTTTCCTGTAACTGAACCATTATTGAACTTGTCGGTTCTGTCGGCCATGACCCGTTCCCTGCAGCGCCTCGCAGTGACATATATGGCCTCATTTATTTATTATTCATAGGTGATTATTGACACACGCTTGTCTCTGAGCTCCTTGTAAAAGAATAACAAATGACGAGCGGCTGTTTTAAGTCGTTTCACCATGAAAAGACGTCGTATCTCACACAGACACCGTTTTATGGACTTCAGCACCTGTGGCAGACCTCTGACTGCAGAGTTTTTACTAAAGGTACATTCTTAGAATCCAAATAAATAAAACTGCTATACAAATAAACTTGTCATGCCTAAAACCATAATTATAACTTGTAAGTTGAAAATTAGACATGACGTTATTCATGTTAGATTTAGATTTAAAAGCCTCCTTTTATGATTCATTGTTATAAATGCCAACTTAGACCAAACAGTCACTGTTTCAGAAATTTAATCAACAGAAACTTGTAAAAATATATTATTTTCCATTGATTTGATGTGTGAATCAAGAGCCTGATTTAAGACAAAGATCAGAAGTTATGATGCTATGTTTTAGCTTTTTTTGTTTTTTTTTGTTTAGCAATTTAGTTAAATACTGACACTTACACACCCTCTTTTTGATTACCTTACATATTTTATATCTTAGATTCTAAGATTAATATCTTGTACATTTAAAAAAAAAAAAAAAAAACATATATTTTGAAGCCTTCTATGATTCATATTTCTATATGTTTCTTTTCGACTGTTGTTAATGATGAGAGAATGTATGATAAAGATTAAAGTATATGTCCATCCATCCATTTTCTTCCCCTTAATTCCTTTCTGGGTCGGGGCTGGCAGTCAGAGGTGCACCCAGCACACTTAGCACCAGCATCTCACTGATCCTCCTGCAGGTGGTGAGTCCACAGGAGTAATATTCACATAAAGTATATGTGTCAGTATACTTATTTGGACTTAAAGCACATGTATGATAATAATTGAGGTGTTGTTCCATAAAACATTCAAGCCTTTTATAGTCGTTTCTTGCCTAAAGTTGACCACAAATGATACGGTTGATTCTCTGCTGCTCTGCCTGTGAGCCTCCCTGCACCGTGATGTAGCCCACGCCACAGCCCGCCTCCTCCCTCCCACATGGTGACGGAGCCCGAGCTCACGCTGACTTTGTTGTGAACACACAGTCTGGGGGTTCAGCGTTCTCCGGGATATAACGGTAATTTCAGACCTGAGAATAAACTCCAACAATGAGGATTTGTCACATAAAGCCCTCTGTCCTCAAACTCAGTGTCAGAATCTGACACTGAGTTTGAGGTCTATGAAGTGCAACAGTCACAAAGGAACCAACAAGACGGCAGTTTGGTAAAGGACAAGCTAACGTTATGCTTTCAATAATGTCTATACTGTGTATGGTTGAAGTGTATATTACAACGAGAACAATTCTTTAGTTAACTGTGGTATAACTGGCGATTCAGTAGCACTGCACTTACAGATGGTCCTGCTTTTATTGTGGGAAAAAACGTTTCAAGATCAGCTTCTGAGTGTGTCCAGTTTCATGCTAACCGTAGATCTGGAACAGTCTTTGGTGAAGTGTCAACAGATTTGTAGCGTATTTCGGAGGCAGATGTATTCGCCGCATACTTTGTTTTCGGGGCCAAATAGTGTCGTCACAGACTTACATCCCTCGAAAACACACAGTTTCTCCAAGTTGACACTTTTAGTCAGCGTCGGGATCAGTAAGAAGTCAAGCAAGGTCACTTCTCTGAGCATCTGCGACGGCGCCAATTGTTACATTTGCTTTGACCCTCAGACCAAAACATCAAGTGGAAAATCACTGACTTTATCATAGTTGCATCAAAAGTGTCATAAAAGATCCATAGGCAGCTGCAGATCGGGACAGAGCCCCAGAGCCAGGCCCTGTGACCTGTGACGTCTCCCCCACCATCACCCGTCTGTGAGAGGGCTCCCAGCAGCATGTGTGCAGTGTGGCCTGGAGGAGCCCTGGTGTGGTTATAGTGTGGCCTGGAGCACCCCAAACAGATGCCTCCTTCTCACCTCTTAATGTGGAGAAGCAGCAGCTCTACTCTGAGCTCCTCTTGTGTAGATCAGCTGTGAAAAAATTAGTTTTTACTCGTATTCCTCATGTTCCAAATGCATTTCTGGGATTCTTACTGTGACGAGTTCATAAGAAACACTATAACTTAAAGATCACTTTATATTTACAGTGAGCATGCTAAAAGGAAGGTTTTATAAAGAGGCAGACAGCTTGCAGCAGTCTCATTTTAACACCAAGGCAAATTATTTTCATAAAAGTTGACATTCCAAACTAAAAGATGACCATCCAGTATCCAGCAGAAATATATATCACATCCAATTGCAGAGGGGTAGAAGTATGAGAGGGATGTGAGGGACTGTGGTGGAGGGAAAGTGTGTGGCCTCACTACACTAACATCATGATACAAAGTCAATATTTAACAAGGATTTCACTTTCTCTGCTGTCAGACCGCTTCCCCTTATTCCCCCTATTTTATTCAACACTTTTATGGACGCTTCAAATTATTCACTCATTCCATACTCGATGGTGATAAACTACTAACCCTAACCCTACTACTGTAGCCACAGCTGCCCTGGGGCACACTGACAGAAGCGAGGCAACCAGTATGTGCCATCAGCCCCTCCGACCACCACCAACCATTCACACACACCAGACTCATTCTAGGCAATGGGGGTGAAGTGTATTGCCCAAAGACACAACGGCACCTGGTGTTCCCAGAGGTCTCCCATCACAGTGCTAACCAGGCCCTGCCCTGCTTAACTCCATAGGTCTGATGGAATCTGGCTTACACCTGCAGGTATTTTTTACAAACAATGGTGAATAGACTATACAATTTAAGTTAATAATTTAGACCAACACACGTCTTTTACAATGTTTCTTTACAATTTTTAGCACAATAAGAACGAAGACAGTATCTTAACTTACTGACAGCGTTTCCAAGCTGTGACATCATCAGACGGGGCCGGGGGCGGGCCGTACACTGCTGGGACGGTCTCCAGCTCCGGACGTTTTATTTGGAGGAGAGGGAAGTGTCCCAGGACTGAACCCGCGGTGGTGAGTGCGGCCGTCAGCGCTGGACCAAACAAACCTCCGAACGAGCGCTCACACTGAGGCGGAGACCCTGGAGCTCACTTCCTGGAACGGTTTCTTTTTAATTTAAGGACAATGGTGATTTCCAAATGAACAAACACGGTGCATTTCTGGTGTTCATTTTGGCTTGGGAAGATTTACTTTGGCGTTTGTGGCTAATATGGATGAACATGTAGAATAAGAGATGGTGAGGATAAGAATAATCATTTCAATTCCATTTATTTTTGTAAAGCCCCAAATCACAACAGTAGTTATCTCGCAGGACTTGACTAAGCTGTTGATTCGCCAAAACAGATCAGAGAATAAAACAGTTCTAACACAGAAAATGCAGTGATAAAAACACATACAGCCATTTGTCCATAAGGGGCTGATGACCAATGTCCATGAATGTCCTTAAATGTCCTGGATCACCACTGTCTTTAGATCCTCCTGCATCGGCAAGAAACAATAAGATTCCCATCTCATCTTAGAAGTGAAATTAAGGCTGCGGTCACATGCGCACCCTAAAGTCTGGAGTGTCCCTGGGCCCACTTTGCGATTGGATCCAGGCTTTAGGTGCTATGTGACCGCGGCAACTGGGCTTGGGCACGTTTAAGATAGGTGGGCCAGAGCTCGCTTTGTAAAGCCCAGATGATGGGGTCAGTGTGGCGGGTGGTGGGGAGTGGGGGATGAGGTGTGGTGGGGACTTGATATTGTGCGTCACATTAAGTCTTCCGTTGTGACGGGCATTTTCACTCACGTCTCTCCTGCACTTTCGTAATCCCTGCTTGTGTTAAACCTTTCATATTAGCCCCGGTGTAACGCCGAGATACACTGTCTTGAAGAGATGCACTGCCTCAGCTGTTTATGATGTAATGCAAACCTGCGCATGCGCGTCTCACGGCAACCGAAGCATACCAAGATGGCGGACCGTGAATTGCTTTAAAAGTTGAAATACGAACGAATTAAGACACGAATGTCACTTTTAATGCAATTTGAGGCGAGATGTTGATGGTTCCGTTTTGTCACATGTGGGTTTTAAGAGTCAAAGTTTTGTGCAAAGTATAGTTTAAGCAGTCAACTGCGCCTGTGAAACCACAAAGCTAATGTTTTCATAGCAGTCCGCGGCTGCTGACGTAGGCTGATGACGCGTCCTGTGGCCACTCTACACTCTTACACTGGTCTGTCGGGTTGATAATGGAAATAATAAATTTCATTCAATACATGTATCGTACTGTATTTAATATGATTAACAATAGTGTGTTCAAACAAAATATTTAATTAGATTGATTTTTTTCCCCATTTTCCATTATCAACTTGACAGACCAGTGTAGAGTGGCCACAGGACGAGTCATCAGCCTACGTCAGCAGCCGCGGACTGCTATGAAAACATTAGCTTTGTGGTTTCACAGGCGCAGTTGACTGCTTAAACTAAACTTTGCACGAAACTTTGACTCTTAAAACCCACATGTGACAAAACGGGACCATCAACATCTCGCCTCAAATTGCATTAAAAGTGACATTCGTGTCTTAATTCGTTCGTATTTCAACTTTTAGCAAGTTAATGCTTGGTATGCTTCGGCTGCCGTGAGACGCGCATGCGCAGGTTTGCATTACATCATAAACAGTTGAGGCAGTGCATCTCTTCAAGACAGTGTATCTCGGCGTTACACCGGTACTCGAATTGTTAGCTACAGTAGCAGAATGTAAACAGGAAGAGAAACAGAAACTTAACTCAGACAACGAGGTCGTTGCTGAAGTTAATATTAGCGCCACCAGCTGGACCAAGCGTTGTACTACAGCCCAGTTGCTCTGGCACGGTTGAGAGAATAAACACATGTGACCGCGGGCCATGCTTCACACCCCTGTGGCGACAATCCGGGCCACTTGGCCTAGTTCGTTTGTAAAAACCTATGTGACCGTGTCCTACATTCTGTGTTGGTAATTTTGAATGTCTAACATGGCACGATCTAATTGCCCTCACATCAGCTCTCACAGGGCACTTTCTTACAGTATGTGTAGCCTGAGTCTCCATATCATCAACTAAAACTACGATGGCCACACTCACCTCTCTGGACAGTGTGGAAACTCATCGGAACCAGCACTTTATAAATGAGACCCATCAGTGCACAGCACTTGTTTACAATGAAGGTGAACGGGCAGAATAGATCAATGCCCCACAACAGCTGACACAATCAGAACTACAGCTGTGGGACATGAGCACTAAAGGAAAATGAGCCTTTTTAATTACAGCCCAATGCATCTCTATGGCCAGCAGAAGGCTCTGTGTCTTTCTGTGTCCAAAACAAAGAACGCAAAACAAAGATTAACAGTACATTCTTGTGCACCATACACATAAATAAGTCATAACCCACTGACACAGCAAGTCAGGGGGCTTTCACCTTGTAGCAACCATCTCATGGAGGCCGTAAGCCCCGCCCCCGCCTATTCAGTCCAATCAGAGGAAAGCATTAACTCCCTGCTATTATTGATTGATACAATATTAATACACATGTAAAGGTACAGACAGGATGTCCGCTTTCATGTCCATCAGCGAGAATCAAAGTTTCAGCTCTGTGAATGTACACAAACATTCCGGGAGCAGACAGACTTCCTGGATCCACTTTCCTTCCTTTCACAAGCTTCTGATTAGAGACACAGAGCCTTCTACATGTAGAGAATGTGTATGACAACAACACAGCAACTACATACCATAATCATACACACACACATTCACATGCACACTTACACACACATACACTCAAACTCATACTTAGCAATGTGGGTGAAGTGTCTTGCTAAAGGCCTAGACTCTTGCCGTGTCTCCAGTTTCTAGTGTGAGTTTAACCTTTGCGTTTCACAATGAGATCATCACATTATTGTTATTAAGACTATATTTGGGATTCACACTGAACACAACTTTTTGGTTTAATGGTTTTGCGCAGTGGGAATGAGACGTGGGTGTATAGCTGTGACAAAGCTCAGAGGTTGTATCCTGATCCTGATTTGTTTTCTATTTTTGTCTAGTTCTGAAACATGTGATGCCAATGTCAAGTTTAAAGATCACATGAATAATCTGTAATATGGCTTTAAAATGATCCCCCACACAACAAATTACCTGAAAAACCTAAAGTCTGGCATGTGCACGCTAACATGCTAACCGCCTGAACACTGTTATCTGTTATGCCGTAAACACTTGTCTATTTGCACGCTAACACAGAGCCATAACCCACACCTGTCATCAGAGTGCCATACCTCTGCAGCAGGCTGTAATCAGGGCGTCCCAGTAGTGTCGTCAGGACATATGTCGAGTGGCAAACATGAAAGCGGCTCCTCTGCAGACGGGACGTATAGGGGACCGAGTGGAACATGTCCCAGACACTACCTCACCCTGAAGAGCTCCACTGACTGTAAATATGTTTGTGCGTGAGAAATACAAGGCTGTAGAAGTGTTTGACATGACATGACTAAATGATATATGTGGAACTGAACGATGGCCGCTGTGATACAGAACCCGTTCTTAGAATGTAGTAATTATTACATTCTGATCTTTGTTGTGAACTGTCCACACTGTTTGTTTAAACTGTGGTGTCATAAAAAACCGCCGCTGTCTTCATATTAGAAATATGTTATCATTTCCAAACTCTGTCAGTCATTATTTGATGCTTTGGGCTGAGTGAGGGGGTCCTCTCCCTCTCTTATTACTTTTCTATCTGAAAAAGTCAATCTTATGATGTGGCAAAGGCTATAAATAATATTATATGAAAACTAGAGTTAGAACCAGACTGTGTTAGAACCAGGAAGTCTTTTGAACTGGACATGTCATGATTATATGATCAGTTGCAGCCATTTGTGATGAAATGTCTGAGAGGTTGTTTAATTATATGTGCATTGCATGTTGTAATGATTATAATAAACAATGAAACAGAGGCTCATAAGCAGTTACAGCAAGTTACAAACAAAATGTTTCAACTTGGTAAAATAGAAAAATAGATAAATACCAACGCTCATAAAGCAATAAACGAACATTAACCATCCACTGTTGGGGAAAAGAAATTGCACTTGTTATGAAATTATTTTATATTTGACTTTGCATAATGCATAATCAATTTCTCGACTTTCCGGGCAGTTTCCTCATAACTCTACGGTTCCCAGTAACCATTGGGATGCGGTATCACCGCTGCAGCCGACCCCAGCACGGTGCGTTCGCCGGCGCTCACATGTGGAACTGAGCCCTGACTTTGTCTGAGCACTTCCAGAGCTCTCTCGTCTCCCCTCTGCCTGCTCCTCTATGGGCCTCTCTCCCTCCCTCCTTCCCTCGCTTCCTGGAGCTAATTTTCGGAATGATTTCATTGCCGCAGAATGTCCTAATTGCGGCGGGCTGGTGCGCCTCTCCGCGGGGGCTAAACTTTTTGATTGTAAGTACGTAAAGTCTGCCAAAAGAGCGAGTGGAGGAGAGAGACATGGGGGTGGGAGCTGTCACTTTGATGGACGTGGTCGGGACCTGGTTTTGCCCTGGCGCCCCTGACCTCCTTGGGCTGCTCTTTTTGACAAGTGGCCTGTTAAAGCCAGGTGGGGGGACCGCCGTGTGAAGGATTTGTGCCAAAGAGAGAACACAGAACAGGCCCTGGTTCGAGGTACGACAGATTGGAGCGATCATGGCTGGACGGGCTGAGCAGGCTGGCCTCTGTGTTTTGCGCCCGTGTCGTTGCCAATCGTGCTGCTTTGACGACGGCCTGAGAAAGTGCAGGCCGCGGTGTGTGACTTTGTGAAGAGGGTCTCGCCTCTCGCTCCTGTCAGAGAGAGCAGACCTAAGGCCAGGCGTCACAGCATCAGGAAGGAATGATGTGCATTAACATGGTTTATTGTTTCGTTTTTTCATAGGTTTAGCAGAACTTCGAGTCTAATTTCTCTGAAGACCAGCTCTTTAAGCACACCGCAAACACAGCAAACACAGTCGAGTAAGTGCTTCGAGTTGATTTCAGTGCAATTTGACTGTCAAAAAACAAGTGTGGCCGATGGATCAAGCACAAATGTCTATAATCACGACTGAGACGAGCTATTTATCACTTGGAAGGAGAAAAAAACGCGGTGCTTGAAATGAGACTAGATCTGGTTGTTCCGTTTCAAGACTAATCCAGCCAGGGCCTTTCTGTGTGGATTTTGCATGTTCTCCCCGTGTCTCCGTAGATTTTGCCTGCCACTAAAAACAACAGTTGCCCCTTACAATTGAAAAGTGTTTTTTGACTCTGGTCTGTGAAAGGCGCTATATAGATAAGGCTACTTAGATTAGATTTGTTCAGATTCAGATCCAACCAGATTAAAGATTACGTAATGTATGACAATGTTGACAGAAAAGGATTTGCTCAAAATTCAAAAGTCACACTCCGAAATTAATCAGCCAAGCGCCACGGTGGCTGAGTGGTTGGCAATCTTGCGTCTCAGCAAGAAGGTTTGGGGTTCAAATCTTGGTCAGAAATAAGCCTTTATGAGGAGAGTTTACATGTTCTCCCGGTGTCTGCGTCGGTTTCCTCCAGGTGCCCCATCTATATAATACATGCATAAGAATTTCTCCAGCTCTGGTCCTGACCGAGCCGAGCGTCAACATCTGGACCGAGGGCGCTGCACTACGGTGACCACTCAATTGCACAATGGGTCAAATGCAGAGGACACATTTTCCTACAGCGACAATAAAGTCTAACTTAGACTTAGAGCCTCTATTTTTGACATGTTTCATCCAAAATGTCAAACTTCTACCTGCTTCAGAACTCCCTATATTACAGCCATTACATTATTTGAGAATATTTTATTGATATTTAACAACAACAATGTTCACAGCATCATCCATGACTAATTCATTGATCCTGAGAATAATTACTGTAGAACGTAGAGGTGTCCAGACTAATTGACTCGCAGGCCTACAAAAACATTAAAGGGCCAAAGATCAAAATCATTTTTGTCTGTGGTATTTCTTTTAGGTTTCACTTTTATACCAAAGTTTCCATGTTGCCTGTGTGGAAAGTTTGTTTTAATATTAATATCCATTCATCATTAATATTCATTTTTTTCAGGCGGATTTTTTGAAACAAACAAAAATAAATCAATTGTTAAAAAACCGGACCAAAGGTAAAGTTTGTTAAACTTATGGAGAAACAACTTTTATTTGTGTCAATTCTCATTGTTTGTTTTTGGTTTTGATCGATTGAGTGATTCTTTCTCCAAAACATGACCAATATCTTACATGTCATACGTCTTCCACATTTATAAAAACTAATTATAAAAATGAAAAAATAATAATTATAATGTACAGAAATAAAAAAAATTCTCTAGTGTACTATACTATACTCACACTGACCATACTAACCAATACTAACCACTGACCATCAATGCTTGTATCATTGGGGGCGCTAAAAATCCACTGGACCAACGCCAAATACTCATCACGGAATTAAAGTTCTCAGGTTCCTTTTATGTGAAAAACAATGAAAAACCCTATATTATTTTCATACAAATATCGATGTGTCCTTCTACAAACTCTACCACACAAAATGTCTGTGTGACAAAAACCTTTTCAAAGCCAGTCCCAGAGCGTGGCGGGCTCTGATCATTTCTGACTGTGCGCTCGTAATGTCTTCTTCTTCTTCTTCTACAGCGAACCTCCCTCCTCCGTGTATGCTTTATTTACACGCGCTGTTTCTCATTTCACACTCCACGCTCCCGTCATCAGCGGAAAATCGAAAAACCAACTCACGCTCACATTACACGAGCACACACACAAACACACAAACATTTCAAAAGTCAAGATGGAAGAAGGAAATTGAAAAATGAAAAAAGCAGCGGCGGCGGCGGTGGAGTTCCTGCTGTCGATTTGGTCTGGAAGGCAATCGGCATGGAGAGAGTGCATTGGTCTGGGTGAGGGGAAAGAGGTGAGGGGAAGGGGTGAGGTGGAAGGGGTGAGGTGGAAGGGGTGAGGTGGAAGGGGTGAGGTTTGGGGGACTGGAGAGCTGTAGAGTTGAACGAACATGAAGGTTTTGGTGGTGCGCTCCAAAGTCCTGTCTGCCTGTCGTCCTGAGCCAGTCCAGATCCTCGCTCTCTGTTTCCAATCGGCTCCAATTTCTGTGAGCGCGAACGTCAAGGCCTTGATAACTGTGTGTGTTGTGTGTTGTGTTGTGTGTTGTGCTGTGATGAGAAGGCTTTGATTGTGTGTCGTGCAAATGTGAATTACAGGAAACATGTGACAGAAACATTTTTTTTGCATCAGAGATCAGCACTGTGCTTCTGCATATTCTGGGACGCATATGACCCCCAACCCTTCTGTCTAAATGCTTCTGTTTCCAACCTGGTGCACTAGATTCAGATTCACTGTGAGTCAGGCCTCACAGTTCATGCAGCAGCATGTTACAATAAGTTACAAAAAGTAAAAAAAAATACAAATAAAACACAGCCATTCCCAAAAGTCAAACACTTCCACCAGAGGTTATTGCAGAGGGCTCAGAAGAATTGGGAAAAACGGTTTGTTTTCCGAGCTGGAGCATTAAAGCGACGCCCTGAAGGCATCATGACAAAGTCAGTGATCAGAGGATGTTTCGGCTTTGATGAGCTAAGATGATCTCTCACACAATGACATAATGATCAGAGCTGTTTTCTGAATCAGTTTTATGAAATACTCCGGCGTGATAGAATTCTTTAAAACCACATGGCTGTCTTTTGTCATAAATATACCATAAATACTGTACATCCTAAATATTCCCAAAATATAGAATAAATACCCATTTAATACATAACTTTCAACTGTGAATCACTATTGACAGATGTATTTTAAAAAATTAAGTAATAAAAGTGTACGTACTTAAGCCTAAACCTTGTGGTTAATCCAGTCCCCTCCAAAAAGAAAGTGTTTGGATTGTCTAATATTGGCGACTTCCTCTCTGCTTCTGTTACTTCTTTTTACAGTGTCTAGAACTACTTTTCCTCAAATAGGATGAGTAGAACTGCTTGAACCTCTCCTACTCTGCCTTGCATCTGTGTCCAGTTTGACCTTTAACTGTAGTCTGTGCATTGCTATTCCCCTGCTGTCCCTCTGTTTTCTTCATGGATCAAATGATGCTGTTTCACTGGAATCAAAACTCTGGGAATATGGACCATCCCGAAATCAGTCTGAGACCCTGGACCTGTTGACTTGTCCCCAGTGTGCCATTCTTTTTTAGGGACGGGCGTTGCAAATTAGCCTTGGCTATAAATGTTGTAGTGTTTTACATGTTGATTTTGTAGTCGCTATGAAATTAATTTGAAGTTGCAATCAATTTATTAAATAAATACAACAGGGCTTTACCCATTGGTTCAAAACAATGGCATTTGCTCTTGAACCCTCCACCCAAAATCCCAATGAACAATGCCAAACCTAATAAATGAAACAAGGATACACACACACACACACACACACACACACACAGTCACATCAAACGAGGTAAATAGTTACAACCAAGGAAAGTTATAAGGCTAGGTGTCAGAGTAACCATTTGAAGGGATTTTGGGCTCTACAGAAATACATTGACTTAATTTGACAGAGCTGTAAGGCGGAAGGGGAGAAATTAGCGACAGAAATCCCTAATATTAGCGATTCTGAATGTGAGAACAGTATTCACTCATCCAGACCTGTTTTGGATGACCGAATAATGTCGAAACACGGTGAAAAGGTCAAGAAAGTTGATTTTCCTTTGAGATGCCTTCTCTGCTTCCAAAACAGCTCAGATGACAGAATCCACGCCAGTTCAGCTTGTCATTATTTGGCGTTTGCGTTCGCCGTGCATGTGGGCCCTTTTCCCTCTGTCATGTTCCCGGTCTGACAGCTGCTTGTTGTCCCCCATGCTGCTGTCAGGCTGTGGTGGGGCCCCCGGCTGGAGTGACTGGTGCATGGGGAGGTGAGTGGTGCCGATGGGGGTGGCTGGGCCTGTCTCCGGGCCTGACACTGTCCACACGGCCCCGGCCCGCCACTCCTGATTAGGCTTGCCGCTGCACAGAGCTGGGGGGGGCAGCGGGAGTCTCTGGAAGCCATTACGGTGGTGAGTCCGTGAGCACCACCCCGCGGGCTCCTCCTAATCGCTCACAGATGAAGAGCGCGGCAGACCGGGCGGGTGTGCGGCCAGAGCGGAGAGCGGAAAGTTACACGCTTAGAAGAAATACAGTGCTACACATTTTTGCCAATTCAACTTTTTTCTTTTTCCTTTTTGGTAGAAGATGGGTGAAGCTGAAGCAGACTTAGGCACTGTGTCGGACAATACACTGCAGAGTTAAAAATGGCTCAAATTTGGCAAAATGTATCTTGGTATGAGCACATTTTGGGGCAATGGGACCAGAAAAATTGTCTTTTTTTAAAAATATACAAGAAATGTTTCCCTTGGAAAGAGAAAATAAAGCCATCGTTCTTAGAATAAGACAAAAGGGCAAATTTTGTTTTAAGACAGCCATAATGTACTCAAATAAGTGCAGTGTAGTACACGGGGAAGTACTACAGTACTGCAGTAATGCAGTAGTAGTGTATTGCTTCAGTTATATTGTAGTATAACACATTACTTTGAAACAACAGTAAAAAGTCATACATCATGAATTACGATTTTGAAGCAACTTGCACAAAACTACTCATTTATCATTTAGACTTGGCAAGTTGACAATATATCACATTAAATCTGGTGTAGCTAACTTAGAAAAAAAAATAATAATAAAAACTGTATAATTATATCCATGTAACCTGGCTCTAAAAGTGTTTGGTTCTATGGCTTCTTTCACATGCATGTGTTTAGAACTTTTTTTTCTCAGTGTTCACAGCATTTTACTTTGACAAGACTCTTTCTGTTGGGACAAACAACATGTACTCATCAGGCCAATGTGGTTAAGCTTTTGAAGTTTGTACATACATTATCTGGTCCTAGCAGAACAGCATTGGTGGAAAAAAATGATGAAATAAAAAAGTTTCTGTTTTCACTAATTCAAATGGATGTGTGAATGTAGCCCGCTGGTTGAAAACACTTTCGGCGCCGTCTGGTGTTTTGCTGGACTGCTCTGACCTGATCTGCAGACGGGACCGCTCTCTGGGAACTTTCTCCTCCAGTTCCTGTTGATGTTCCTTCTAAACAGACCGCGGCTGACTTTGGCACGAGCCGCTGTTATCGCTTCAGCGCGACGACGGACCGTAGCAACAGAACGTAAACATGGGGGAAATTCATCAAAATATAAATATAGATGTGTAGTTTTTAATATAAAGTCTTGCACCAGGAAAAATATGAGGGAGACTTCAGATTACTGTCATATACATGTGAGGGAGGCAGCATTTTAGAGTCATGCAGCTAAAACCTTTCTGAAAATATGGGACAGGCTTCTTCTCAAAACATTTCTGTTTAGCTGTTATACAACTGAAAGATTTTATCTTTACTCTTTTTAATGTACTGCGATTAATTATGAGTTACTAATCATCTACTGTAAACCCTAACTTCAATCTTACTTCAGATATCAAAGTTATTTTAAATACATTTTTCCCAGTAAGTAAATATTACTCATTCATTGTTAGTTTATTTAAAGCTTGCCTATATCACTCAGGATTTTCTTTGAATTGAACAGTGTCTGTTCGAGTAAGCCTCACTTTGGAAATTTTGAAGAATCTTTAATGAAACAGGTATGTCATTAACAGGACGGCCTGGTGGCTGAGTGGATAGCATCATTGCCGCTCAACTACGGGGATCTGAGTACGAATCCCGATTGAAACATGAGTTGAAATTTAACTTTATTGCAATCACTTGAGTTTACTTGGTAATATCAAGTAAAGGATGTACTCGAAGAAATGAAGTGAAGTTAAAGGAGCAATATGTAATATTTGCATATCAAGTCATCATTAAATGACCCGAATATTTCAAAAGGCGTTATTAAATCATACTCTTTTCGAATTCATCTTTAACTGATAACAGTAGTTCAGCCGAGATATTTGATTATCAAAATTAGTTTTACGACCCGTAAAAGTTGTTATTGTTTTGATTTTGATGTCCTACCCTCCGCCGTTTCGCCAATCAGGAAGTGTCATGTAAGTCCGTGATCGGGTTGCCAGAACTCCGCGCGGCTCATTAATCTCAGAGGTAAAATAACATGTGGCGCAGAACTAAAAAAGGTCTTGTTATGACTCTCAAATCATTAATGACAAAACAAAGACTAAAACGAGGATTTATATCGGGATGCCTTTGAACAATTGAGACAGCTGATAAAAGTTCACGTGTGATGCAGAATTTTCTAGTTTGAGTCCGTTCTTCACAGTGTCTCTGTTCGTGTGAATCGGTGGTCTAGTGCAGTGTTTTTCAACCTTTTTTGAGCCAAGGCACACTTTTTTCACTGAAAAAATCTTGCGGCACACCTCCAGGAGAAAATGTAAAAATGTATACAGTACTAATGTAAAAAAATATATACTGTACATACTCTGTGTGATATATAAAGTATATCTTATCTTATAATGTATACAGTATACTCTGTAGCCTATATTCATAATATACAGTTATTCTCATCAAAATGCTTAAGTCCAGGCCTTGAAATTAAGCTTTATTTAATATTTCTCGATACAATTAACAAGAGTTTGGGAATAAAGTGGCACTAACTGTGTGGAAAAAAACTAAGAAAATCCACTCTCTGCCCAAATAGTCAAATAATAACTCACACAAAGAACATGCATTGTTAGTGCATGGGAAACATTTTGGTATCCGAGCTTTAAATTCAGGAGTTTTGGATGAGGGACACGGGAGGTCCTGAACGTGAGTCCATGGTTCTGTCCGGTCCGCATGTCTGTGGTTCTGTCCACTCGACTACGGTCTGCGCTCGGTACCCAGTTCAGAAGTGCGTTCGCGAGAGCTGTTGTACAAAAATCGTACATTTCATAGTTAAACCACTACAACGCGGCCACAGCTGCCCCGGGGCAGAGCGGAGGATGTTAATCCTGTTCAGAAACGGCATAATTCATTTTCAAAAACGTCTCTATCACTTTCACTTCTCACTCGCCACAAAGCTCTTGTCTCGCTCCCTCACACATTTGTTGGTCGCATCCAATTTTACCTTTCTCGCCACAATGCTGACCTGTTACAGCCAGTGGTCGCATCCAATTTTTCAGTTTCAAAGTACTTAGCTATCTGCTGCCATCTACTGATTTGAAAAAGTATTACATGGTTACTCACAGTTCAAAACAAGTCACCGCTGGTCAACAGCGAATGCAGCTATTTTTAGACAAAGTAGACGAATTTCTCACGGCACACCAGACAATATCATACGGCACACTAGTGTGCCGCGGCACAGTGGTTGAAAAACACTGGTCTAGTGGTCTAGACCAGTGTTTTTCAACCTTTTTTGAGCCAAGGCACACTTTTTTCACTGAAAAAATCTTGCGGCACACCTCCAGGAGAAAATGTAAAAATGTATACAGTACTAATGTAAAAAAATATATACTGTACATACTCTGTGTGATATATAAAGTATATCTTATCTTATCTTATAATGTATACAGTATACTCTGTAGCCTATATTCACAATATACAGTTATTCTCATCAAAATGCTTAAGTCCAGGCCTTGACATTAAGCTTTATTTAATATTTCTCGATACAATTAACAAGAGTTTGGGAAAAAAGTGGCACTAACTGTGTGGAAAAAAACTAAGAAAATCCACTCTCTGCCCAAATAGTCAAATAATAACTCACACAAAGAACATGCATTGTTAGTGCATGGGAAAAATTTAGGTACAGTATCCGAGCTTTAAATTCAGGAGTTTTGGATGAGGGACACGGGAGGTCCTGAACGCGAGTCCATGGTTCTGTCCGGTCCGCATGTCTGTGGTTCTGTCCACTCGACTATGGTCTGCGCTCGGTACCCAGTTCAGAAGTGCGTTCGCGAGAGCTGTTGTACAAAAATTGTACATTTCATAGTTAAACCACTACAACGCGGCCACAGCTGCCCCGGGGCAGAGCGGAGGATGTTAATCCTGTTCAGAAACGGCATAATTCATTTTCAAAAACGTCTCTATCACTTTTACTTCTCACTCGCCACAAAGCTCTTGTCTCGCTCCCTCCCACATTTGTTGGTCGCATCCAATTTTACCTTTCTCGCCACAATGCTGACCTGTTACAGCCAGTGGTCGCATCCAATTTTTCAGTTTCAAAGTACTTAGCTATCTGCTGCCATCTACTGATTTGAAAAAGTATTACATGGTTACTCCACAGTTCAAAACAAGTCACCGGAGGTCAACAGCGAATGCAGTTATTTTTAGACAAAGTAGACGAATTTCTCACGGCACACCAGACAATATCATACGGCACACTAGTGTGCCGCGGCACAGTGGTTGAAAAACACTGGTCTAGACTGTGCGCTTACGATGCAGGAACCCGGGTTCGATCCCGGGCTATGCCTTTTTGTATTTATTGCATGTTATCACATTCTATGACAGATTGCTCTAAAAACGGTAAAAGATGAATGTCAAGACGTTTTTTTGCAGATTATAGCTTAATTGTAAAAATAATCATTTAAGACCACATGTACCCCAATTAAAATAATGTTAGTCTGTTTTTGATGTGGAACTTTTACATGTTTGTTTAAAAAATAGGGAATAAATAAAATTGAAAGGTTATATCCTCTTGAGCAAACCCTGATGTTGATACGCTGAAGAAATACGTTCCAACATCCATTCTTCCCACTCCTATTTTGGACATCAATTGCTTATGTATTTTGCATAAACTATGTATAATTACATTGCTTTTATTTTGTTTTTTATCTCAAATGTCCAAATAATAATAAAAAAACATTAATCAAAACATTCATTCAGCATTAGCACGGCTGTCATGGCAATGTGAATGGAGACGGACAAACAACTGATAAAATAATTCCCTGTGTTTGCTGCTGGATTTGGTGTGAATCTGGCAACCTGAGTCAGGGAGAGAGGGAGAGGACTACAAAATATTGACTGTGACTGCAGTACCACTTTTCTCAAGTAAACTTTACTTGTCAGGGTTTACATTGTGTTCTATAGAGGCCATAAATGCATGTGAAATTAGACCTCTGAAGCTGTGCAGGGTTTTACTTTTGAATGCAGTGGAAAACGGCTGCAAGTCCTTGGTAAACCCGGAAACAGTTGTTTTATTTGTGCTTAAGAATTTTTATTTGTGTTGCTTTTTTCTTCCTGAGATGTTGCTGCAGTACAGTGTTCATGGTTTTACACTGGTCCAGACCGGAGCAGAGAGGATTCATGGTCTGAACCAAGCGGAGCAGGTGAAAATCCACTGGAGGAATGCTAACTTTTTGAAAAATGCTAATGAAGCATTTTACTTTGGACTAGAGCAGAGAAAATGGTTCGAACTAAGCGGCTTCTCCACCTCTGCTGCGGTGACCTGAAGGGCTGTTGCTGATTATTACTAATGTTAACTTTTTAGAATGATCAATTTTATTTCTTTATTTTTGCAGCTACTGGACACCTGAATATCTCCGACAGGGATCAATAAAGTATCTATCTATCTATCTATCTATCTATGTGAAGTGGCTGCGGTCACATGCACAGCCTAAAGCCCGGTTTAAGTGCCCAGGCACGTTTGAATACTTGGGCCAGGGCCCGCGTTGTAAAGCCATGAGGGGGGTCAGTGTGGCGGTGGGGTGGTGGGGGATGAGGTGTGGTGGGGACGTAATAATGTGCGTCACATTACGTCTTCTGTTGTGACGGGCATTTTCACACACTCTCCCTGCACTTTAGTATTCTCCACTTGTGTTAAACCTTTTGTATAAGCCCCAGACCGTGGTCGAGGGGCGCAAGGGACTGCAGGGCCAAAGGGAAATGTTTCCTACGGGAATAACTCCTTCTGTTCTGACCCTCGCTCTCACAGTGATTGCAATAATACTTCAGACATTCAAGGATCAGTCTTTATTTAATCGCCAAAACACACCAACACACACATGCTTGCCCGTACGCCACACTTTTCATTCTTTCATTCTCATTCATTCATTTCTCAGCGCTCTTACGCTCGTTACTAAAGAGAGTGTGTGTGTGTGCACTCGTGTCCGCGGCCCACACAAACACACACACATGTTACCCACTGAACTGCTGCACTTTGCATCAGAGCAATGTGGACAAGTGTGAGATGTGTCTTTCCCTAAACAACGCGATCCGTACCGAGCTGTTAGCTACAGTAGCAGAGCGTACAGAACGGAAACATAAACTTAACTCGGACAACGAGGTCGTTGCTGAAGTTAGTATTAGCGCCTCCAGCTGGACCGAGCGTTGTACTACAGCACAGTTGCTCTGGCACGTTTGCGAAAACACGTTCATGTGACCGCGGGCCGTTTTCACACCCCTGTGGCGACAATTCAAGCCACTTGGCCTAGTTCGTTTGTAAAAACCTATGTGGCCGTGCCCTGAAAAGCGCTATATAAAACAGATGCATAATTATTGTTACTATTGAAACACAAAGAACTGTTGGACTTTGAATTTGTGCTTTGAAACGTTACAAAAAGTCACATTAAGTTCACCTACAAAATTTGTCCTCCATATTATTCCAGCCAAAAGACAAATAGTCCTATCTTTTTAGGGTAATACATACCGACATAAACCTGGCGACAACCACTTCTTTTCAGTGTGGGTGTGGACGCAGACAGTAAGGAGTTTCTGATCCAATCACAGCAGAATGCAGAAGGAACTTCACTCGCTATAACGTTCTGTAGTTCTGTAGTCCTTCAGCTGAGTTTTGAGACTTTTGGATCTTAAAAGATCCGAAAAGATAACGCTGTCTGTATAATAATATTATACATATATATATTTATATATATATATATATAATTTAATAATATACAGACAGCGTAAAATGCCTGAAGACTCCTAAGGGCACACCACCATGGGGCAGAAACCTGCACAGATGGACAGGGAAATAAACCAATCGTCATAAACAGTGGACGTGACGATAGCTTTGCGTCAAGAACACATTTCAAGCTTCAAATCCCTAAAATTAAGGATTTACCTTCAAAACAAAGAAGATAATTAAATCCAGAGGAAATCTGTTATTGTCCTGTCCACAAATAAAATGCAGCAATTGGTTAAAACTACAAATTCTGATGGTGCAAGTTTGGACAGTTTCCACAAATCTATTTTTGACTAAAAAGTTACAAAGGAAGGGTCACTGAAACGAGAAGAGTTTGTTCAAAACTTTCTCAGATCCTTGCTCTGGTTCTGTGGCACACACAATTCATGTTTTTAATTATTTGTACATGTCAGATTCGAAACCTGTCCGCCTCGAAAAGCAGTAACGTGATTATGTTACAGTAAAGTTATATGTATATGTGTGTGTGTACATGTATGTGTGTGTATGTGTGTGTGTGTGTGTGTGCGCCTGTGTATGTGTGTATAGAAGGACCGCAGACGCTGAGTGACAGTGACAAAGCCCCCCAGGTCATGCTGCTTTCCCACCGCCGGAGCTTCCGTTGGCAGGGGCAGTTCACGTTGGCGATCTGGGTGGGCACAGGTCACAGGGCGAAACCTTAGCCTCCACAAACACACTGTAATCAGGCACCAGCTGCAACACAACTCCGGCCAAATCTGTCCATCTGTCCGTCTGCGTTATCATCGCTAATGTGCAAGGGTGACTTTTTATTGAGTTACAACATTGTTCCTGATTCGGAAATAGAATTGGAGTTGGTTTTAGCACCATACCTGCCAATATAAGGAACTTCTGCTGCAACTCGACACACTCACGTCCCCTCATCCCTTCTGTCTGTGTTTTAAATGGTGTCTCGGTATAAAAGTTCCAACCCACGAAAAAAGGTCTATGCTTGCATTTCTTGGTCTCTGTCACATCTTTAGATATGTTTTTTCAGACAGAAAAGTTAAAAAGAGAGAATCAGCCTCTCTCCAAAGCTGCACAGAGTGACACTTGTGCTTCACAGCAAGAAGATCCTGGGTTTGATTCCAACTCCAGGACCTTTTCGTTTCTGAGTTTGCATGTTTTCCCCTTGTCTACAAATGTTCCCCTGGGTGCTCCGGTTTTTCCTACCACAAAAAATGCGTACAATAGGTGAGAGTTGAGAGTAGGTGTTTGTGACCGTAGAACTGTAGATGGAAATTTGCTACAAAGCTTCTGGTGTATTCTCAGCTCCACTATTCATTATTCATTCCCAAAGCGCCAAATTGTGACTCACTGGGGCAAAGATAATATGTCTTCTTATAAGAAAAAGACCACCAGGATGACCATGATGTTGTCTGAATTGTTCCCAACATGCATATTCATTAAACAAAAAGTTACGTACCCTACATGTCTCCAAATAGTACTGTTCATAGGATATTTCACAGTCCAATATCCGTATACACTCTACACTTAATACTTTTTTTTTTTTTCACCGCAGTCATTTATAAAAGTTCGAGTAATCCGCCCATGGCCTTTGACCAGGCTTTTGCGATGTCAGTATTTCAACTTGCACCGATACGATACTGGTAATAGATATCGGTGCCAATATCAAAGATTGGGAATGTTGTTGGGGTCAGGTTTCGGATTAATTACATAGAATGAGCTGATTAAGCTTTTTAGTCGATGTATTTAAACTATGTATTGGATTACAGTATCCCAGAATGCCATAGAGTTACATTCACTCAAACACATTTTTCTGTCTTGTTCAGAATCATCATTAAAAACATACTTGAAGAATAAAGTTGTGATTTGAGGTCTTTTTGACCAACGCTCTGGTAGATCTGGCAGATATTGGAAACGCCACAGTATCGAGATCGGTGATGATCCAGGGCACTCAACAATGAATCATCTCTTTTTGGTTTTTTGCATTGCATTTTCTGTGTTTGAACTGTTTGATTCTCTGATTTGTGTCGGCAAATCGACAACTTTAGATAGTCGTCTGAGATAACTACTGATGTGATTTAGGGCTCTACAAAAATCATTTAAATGGAATTGAATTGAATTAACAAGTGTTTCCCTAACTTCAATAGTTTGGGCACCCCTGCAGCACTTGTAGCTCCGGCTGTTTCCCACCGACATACAGTACATTAAGTCACACAACATAAAATTGCAAAGTGCCAAAAATAGTTGGAAATCCAGAACAATCCGTTACATAAGCCTTTTAAATCCTTACTTTTCGCCACCTTCAGCAGACACCCGCATTAGCTTTTTGGGGCCTGAGATTTATGCTACGTTCAACAAGGATTTGAAGTCTCCCTGTAAATCCAGCGAGCTACTGCCTCCATCAATTCTCAATCATAAAACTGGTGCGTTTCCCCCGGGAGGCGCGGGACCAGATGGGGAGCCGGGCTGCTGTGTTTCTGGGCCCATAATTAGCGCGGTGCGGCGGTTTGGCTAACGAGGCTGCATGCAGGCGTTTGATTAGCGCGCCGTAACCTGCCCTTTGCTCTCTCTCTGGGACCAGCCTCGCAGCAGGAGCCGATGGAGGGAGGAGCTCTGGAGGCATGGAGCTGCAAAAGCCTTCAGTCTCTAGTATTTAAGTTTGCGATTCTCAGGTGAATCTTCTATGAATAGCCATGGGGTTATGTTTTCATCAAGGTTTCTTCGTTTGTCTGTGTGTTGGTTAGCTGGGTACAGTGCCTTGAAAGTCCAATACCAAAAGTTTGTAAATATATCAATCATGTTTCACTAATGTTACAAATAATTCCTTTTTTTTTTTACTTTTACTTGTACAAATAACTTTTGTTTTGTACAAATGTATCAAATGCTAGTTTATTTTAACTTACATTCAATATATACAGTATGTTTTGTTTGTTTAATTTTTCATATTATTTGATATTTATAAAGGTAGTATCATGAATTCGACCCCATTTTAACACTCCATGGACTTTTCCACTGTAGTTGTGTTTGTTTGTCATGTCTGTCCTGTTGCTGTTTATGCTCCGGTGTTATCACTCTACATTCAACCACATTTATGGATTTAATCAACACTTATGGACATTGGTCATCTGCCCCTTATGGACCAATGGCTCTATATGTTTGTACTGTTTGATTCTCTGAGATGTGTTGGTGAATCGACAACTTTGTAAGGTCCCACGTGATAACTACTGTCGTGATGTAGGCCTATACAAAAATAAATTTAATTTAATTGAATATAAAATGTTACATCAGGACACTGCAGATGAAAAAGCCTTTATAACAGTGAAAATACTGACTCAAAAATAGTAGAAAAAGTAGATTATATATAATACATATATATTTGTACTTGTTGCTTGTTGTTATATATTGTTGCCTGTATAACAACTAAGTCAAACCTTATATTACAGGCGTTCGAAATGTCCCACACTGCAGCTCCAAACCTGCAGACGAAAAGTAATCACGCCTCTGTAAAAGCAGCGGGTTCTTTTTCCACCATTTTAAGCTCTGTTTGGATTTACGACAGGCTGCGGGCTGGACGTGAAATGGATCTTTCCCCAACAAGGGCCTGTTTGAGTCGGACACGTATACAGAGCTAAGTGGGGGCCTGTTCCTGCGTGTGCGTTCAGAGCTCGGGCCTTTGCTCCGAGTGCATGGCGTAAAAAAGCATAATAAACAGAAGCATTGGATCAGTCAACGAGCCTGATTCGCTTGGCCAAACACACAGCCCAGGATTGTGTTTGGGATTGGAGAGAATAGCCGCAACAACCCGCAAAAGAACTCAGAATGATGCTGTTTTCCATTGGAGTCGATTGGCAAAGAACCTTCCCCAGGCAAAAATGTGTGTTGAATCTGCCCTGATAGCTTATGTCATAGATATATAATAGATATATAAACATAAGTAATAATGGGAGTTTTGTGTCTCTTTTTAAAAACACATTGTCTGTCAAAAGGGGAAAAGATAAAAGGAAACCCAAAACGCAGGACTGAAAATAAAAGTGTGATTAAATGGAAAACAAATTCAGGGTAACGATGAAACACAAAATTCCAGAACTAAAAAATGTCAGGAACAAACTTAGTAGAGACTATGGACGGACAACAGGTGGGGAAAACCACAGAAAAGCACAGGGTATAACATACTGTACACACAGGTGAGACACATCAAGGTGGGACGGGCAAACCAGAAAAAGCTCAAGGAACCAAAATAAAACCAGGTAAAAGTGATCAAAAAGTCCATACCATGACATTGTCCCCAACTTTTCTGGGTCTTTCCACAGCTCTGGTTGTCTTGGAAACTGTGTGCATTTGTTAAAGCTTGTACAGAAAAGAAACACTCCCTTCCAGTGGTAAAAGTGGGAAATTACATTGTACTGGATTTAGATCTAAATCTAACATGATGTGGGATAACTGAAACCCCACCCAGTTGTAAAGAACAGAGCAGCTTTATCATCAGAGAGGATGAAGAACTAAAGCAAACTGGAGGATGGACATTTCTAATCAGGGCCAGAGGAAGAGCTTCTGTCTTAAATATGATGTGAAATGAAACATAAGTATTAAGTTATCTTTATTTATATAGCACATTTTACAATTCATGGTCACACACAGCACTTTACAATGTTGAAGTACCGATAAATATACTTTCTTTACACAAGTGATGACAGGTGTGAGACGCAGGGCACACTGGCGCATCAAAGCCCTGGACCATCACAAACCAGAAACTGGAACACCTGGAGAAAACCTACGCATCCACAGGAAGATCATGCTAACTCTATACAGAAAGGCCCACACAACCACTAACAAGGACAAAACAAGTTATCGGTGTGTGAGTGTGTAAACTTTCAAGCACAACTGTACGTTATTTCATGTTTTGATGCCAACGTTAGGATACACTATCATACAAACGGTAAAAAGCCAAAGTTAATGCAAAGAATATGTCACATCAGTTGATATAAATATACCAACATTGTAACTAGGCAGAGGCAGCCATTTGAAACGTGTTATTTCTTCACTCTGTAAACAGTCCAATCCAAACCTGACCCCTCCACAGTCCACACACAGCTCCCTCCCTCGTGCAGGCGCTCCGCTCCTGGATCCAAACCAAACTTTGTGCAGAATGTGATATTTCTGATGTTGGCTGAACACTGCATTGGAGCGTCCCGGGACCCGTCTCTCTCTGTCATCGCGTTTTGCCGTCTTCCTTTCGCCCCAAAAGCATCTGACGCACGCCAATATTATCGCCCATACGTCAACGCGCTTCAGGCTTCAGCTCGGACTAATGCGCGGTGACGTGCCCCTGCGGGTGGAGGGCCGGGGCGGGCCGGTGGGGGGGTCGGTGTCGGTGTCAGCGATCGGATCTCTCAGGGCGCAGAGGGAGCGGTGTTCGGGCTGGACTGTGCCAGCTGATTGTGAGGGAGAGGGTGTTGAAATGAAGATGAATGGGTGGCATGAGCAAGCCAAGCGCAGAGGTGAGGGCGTGTTTGTGGGGTGCTGCCAGGTCAGGTCCCCCCCCCCCAGAGCCACAGCTGTCCAGTGCGGAGTGACATGGGGCCGAGAGTCGTGGGGACCTCGAAGAGTCAGACAGATTCAGATTCAGTTTTATTGCCATTTGCAGTAAAACCAAATGGGAATACATGAGCAAAAGTCCCCAGTGTGCATCGGCTGCAGCAAGAGAAAAAAGTGTAGGAAAAAATTGTCACCATGAAGCCAATCAACAAAGAACATTAAAATAAGGAATTATGTAATGTTTTATTTATATCGCACAATTCACAGACCAAGGTCACACAAAGCGCTCTACAATTTTGGAGCATCAACCACCAGATCACCCTGTCACCAGTCTGAACAAAGACTGACTTGTGGAGAGAATCTGTTAGATGTCTGGCATCTTTGCGAACAATTCATTGTCTGCTAGAAGGAAGAAGCTGAAACATAACTTTTCCAGGAAGAATAATCAATAGCTTATTCATTTTTCTAAGGTAATGTTAATTTCTCCTGTGTGAGATCAGTAAAGTCTATCTTATCTTCTTAAGTTTAAGAGTCTGGATTCATAAAGAGCCTCACAGTCCTCCTTCAGAGTAGAGCACCTTGTTTTAGAGCTCTCAAAGGGTTTAGAAGAGTTTTAGGAACAGAGTTGAGTTAGTAACTAAATCAGTCGCTCCCATCATTTTCTGCCCTCTGTACCCCCTCATCAACATAGACAGGGCATGAAGACCCTAAATGAAAATAACATTGTTCAGATTCCCCAGGAGTGTTTAGGAGCCCACATAGAAAACAAACAAAAGAGCTTGTTGGGCTTTGATATTATACCGAGGTCATTTTTTCGGAAGTTCGTTTTTAGTTAATCTTTATAAAAAAATGCATAAACTATTCACACTTTCACAGGCCACAGGTTGAGAGCTGCTCTAGTCTCTGCATCTCTCCCACTTATCCCTCTGTCTGTTTCATGCACCTGTAGATCTGGGCTGGACTAGCAGACCAGTCCCCGTTCTGAAAGCCTGGACTACCCTCCCTAGACCACTGGACCAGTTGCCCTTTGACTCTTGTGATTCTGGGTGATACAAACATAAATTAATTTGGTGTGTAATTTTCATACTAACATAAGCTGCACCACCTAATTTTGAAAAGAAAATCAATTTCGTCCACATATGGCTGCACCTGAATACAAGCCTAATTCATTTTGCAATGTAGCAGAGAGACGACACAACATGATTTAATACAGTTAACCGTTAACCACTCATTCACCTTCATCATTTTTGACGATAATCTAATATCTTATAGCTTCTAGAACTTGATGGAGTCAAAATAAAAAGTCCATAAACTCTGCTCTGACAACGGCCCAACTCACAATAAAAAATAAACATATTAGGCGCGTCGCTAGATAAGCCGCAGGGTTTAAAATAACTAGAAAAAAGTGTCCGCTTATTATCCAGAAATTACGATAAGCCTGTGTATGCGTTTCGTATGTGTTCATCAAGGACCAATACACAAATAACTTAGGTGAAAGACTGTGTTGTGTTTACATGTGTTTTTGCAGACTTTATTATTGCTCATTATCAAACCTGGTGCTTTGAGCTGAGATCTGCACATTCTCACACTTGTCTATCACTCTTCCTGATGCGGCGATGGAACCCTAACCCTCGCTCACTCCGCGGCCAACAGCTGGACAGATGAAACTCCTCTCTGCCGCCTCAACTGGACCGGACCTGCAGACTGCTATGTGTTTACAGAAATCCTGGGCTTCTGGTGCCAGTGCTCGCTCTGCAGCTGCCTGGTGCAGAGTGATGCGGTGAGAATGGGGCGTAACCTCCAGCTCACAGGTCTAATCACAGTTCCCACGCTAACATACGCACACCCATTAACGACAACGTGATGACATTCTTACTTTATTAATCAAATGAACATCCTGCAAAATCTAGGGGAGAAAGATACTTAAATGCATTCCTTTTGAGAACGCTGTGATGCTTAGTTTTACAGTCCAAGGCATTTGTTTAATTATGGACTGAATTAAGGACTGTAACGACAATGATTGTGTTTTAGACCATTTAGAGGAGACATATTAAGAGAAGATTTGTCCCACAACTTCAGAATTAAGAATTAATTAACGACTAATGCATCTATCTACATTTAAAAATATTCTAAAAGTTTTTTTCCTCAGCTTTACCTTCTTCTAGTTTTACCTTCAATTTCTGTTTATTATAACCACTATTTATATAAGAAATATTTGCTTTCAAATGCAGCATCTAATTGCTAAGGTCACAGGACCTGTAGTGCCGGCCTGAAAAACACCAAATTCATAGAAATATTTGATAATGTATTTAATACAGGTGGGCCATGGAGGGGTGTGGGTGCGGAGTAATAACAGATGCTGTATACCGGGCTGTGTCTCAAGCAGGACAGGAAAAACAAAAGCATCACTACTGAGCCAATTAGAATGAGAAAAAATAATCCAGAAAATCAGATGTTTTGTGGCATTTGCGGGCAACACAAACTTTCAACTCCCTCCAAAGATTTTCCATGGGGTTGAGATCTGGAAACTGGTTAGGCCACTCCGGGCTGTGTGTTTGGGATCATTGTCTTGCTGAAAGACCCGGTCACGTTTCAGCTTCAATGCCCTTGCTGATGGAAGGAGGTTTTCATTCAAAATCTCACAATACATGGCCCCATTCATTCTTTCCTTTACACGGATCAGTTGTCCTGGTCCTTTTACAGAAAAACAGCCCCAATGCATGATGTTTCCACCTCCCTGGCGGCATAGTGTGTTACTGATGGTAACCTTTGTTACTTTGGTCCCAGCTCTCTGCAGGTCATTCACCAGGTCCCCCGTGTGGTTCTGGGATTTTTGCTCATCGTTCTTGTGATCAAATTGACCCCACAGAGTGAAATCTTGCGTGGAGCCCTAGACAGAGGTTTGTAACTTTCATCATGGGTACACTTCAACTGTGAGAGACAGAATTTGGGAAAAAAAAACAGGAATTCACATTTTTTAAGATTTGTAAATTATGGTGGAAAATAAGTATTTGGTCAATGACAACAATTCAACTCAAAACTTTGTAATATAACCTTTGTTGGCAATAGCATAGGTCAAAGGTTTACTATAGGGGTCTACCAGGTTTGCACACACAGTAGCTGGTATTTTGGCCCATTCCTCCATGCAGATCTTCTCGAGAGCAGTGATGTTTTGGGGCTGTCGCCGAGCAACACAGACTTTCAACTCCCTTCACAGATTTTCAATGGGGTTGAGGTCTGGAGACTGGCTAGGCCACTCCAGGACTTTCAAATGCTTCTTACGGAGCCACTCCTTTGTTGCCCGGGCGGTTTGTTTGGGATCATTGTCATGCTGGAATACCCAGCAGCGTTTCATCTTCAAAGCTCTCACTGATGGAAGGAGGTTTTGGCTCAATATCTCACGATACATGGCCCCATTCATTCCTTCCTAAACATGGATCAGTCGTCCTGTCCCCTTAGCTGAAAAACAGCCCCAAAGTATGATGTTTCCACCCCCATGCTTCACAGTAGGTATTGTGTTCTTGGGATTCAACTCAGTATTCTTCTTCCTTCAAACACGACGAGTTGAGTTTATACCAGACAGTTCTACTTTGGTTTCATCTGACCACATGACATTCTCCCAGTCCTCTGCTGTATCATCCATGTGCTCTCTGGCAAACTTCAGACGGGCCTGGACATGCACTGGCTTCAGCAGGGGGACACGTCTGCCACTGCAGGATTTGATTCCCTGTCGTTGTAGTGTGTTACTGATGGTAACCTTTGTTACTTTGGTCCCAGCTCTCTGCAGGTCATTCACCAGGTCCCCCCATGTGGTTCTGGGATCTGGGACCCCACGGGATCAGATCTTGCGATCGAGGGAGATTATCAGTGGTCTTGTATGTCTTCCATTTTCTGATAATTGCTCCCACAGTTGATTTGTTAATACCAAGCTGCTTGCCTATTCTAGATTCACTCTTCCCAGTCTGGTGCAGGTCTACAATTCTTTTCCTGGTGTCCTTCGACAGCTCTTTGGTCTTGGCCATAGTGGAGTTTGGAGTCTGACTGTTTGAGGCTGTGAACAGGTGTCTTTTATACAGATAAGGAGTTCAAATAGGTGCCATTAATACAGGTAACGAATGGAGGACAGAAGAGCTTCTTAAAGAAGAAGTTACAGGTCTGTGAGAGCCAGAGATCTTCCTTGTTTGAAGTGACCAAATACTTATTTTCCACCATAATTTACAATTAAATTCTTTTAAAATCGTACAATGTGAATTCCTGGATTTTTTTCACATTCTGTCTCTCACAGTTGAAGTGTACCTATGATGAAAATTACAGACCTCTGTCATTATTTTAAGTGGGAGAACTTGCACAATTGGTGGCTGACTAAATACTTTTTTGCCCCACTGTATATACAGTAATATATATATATATATATATATATATATATATATATATATATTAGTATATATCAGCTCATTGGTTTCAGTGATTGTGGTGGTAGGTATTGCCCTCACTGCTGCATTCACGCTTTCTATGAGATCCTTAGGTGGTACTTAACACAACCGGTGCATTGAGATTCAGACCACGGATGTTAAAACTCGAAAGCTCCTTACCATGCATGGCGGGTTCCATCCCAAATCCAGCACCCTGAGACTGTACGTAAGCCATAAAGAAGGAGGCCGAGGACTAGTGAGTGTGAGAGCCACTGTCCAGGACGAAACATCCAAACTCCATAACTACATCATGGAGAAGGCCAAAACGGAGGACGTACTCAGTGAATGTCTCAGGCAGTGGCGAGATGAGGAGGTGCTGGAGGAGAGCCCATCATGGGAGAACAAGCCCCTACACGGCATGTACCACCGGAGCATAACAGAAGTGGCTGATCTCAAGAAGTTCTACCAATGGCTAGAAAGGGCTGGCCTACAGGACAGCACAGAGGCACTCATCATGGCTGCACAGGAACAGGCACTGAGCACCAGAGCGATAGAGGCCCAGATATACCACACCAGACAAGACCCAAGGTGTCGGTTGTGCAAAGAGGCACCTGAGACGATCCAACACATAACTGCAGGGTGCAAGATGCTGGCAGGGAAGGCCTACATGGAACACCATAACCAAGTGCAGAGTATGGGCTGGAAACCCCAAGGTCTAAGTGGGAAACTCCTTCAAAGGTGGTGGAGAATGAACTTGCAAAGATCCTGCGGGACTTCCAGATACAGACCGACCGAATGATAATGGCGAACCAACCTGACATTGTGGTGGTAGACAAAACATCAGAAAAGGTCAGTAATGTCATTAATTTTCATACATATTACTAAATCTCTTTATTAAGATAAGTTTGGTCGTTAAAATAATAGCACCTTTTTAACACTCTTCAACCTCAGCTGTGTTTAAGTTCCGAAACATCGGAACATCTTCAATTCAATTTATTTTTGTATAGCCTTAAATCACTACAGTAGTTATTTCTGAGGATTTCACAAAGTCGTCAATTTGCCGACACAGATCAGAGAATCAAACAGTTCAAATACAAGAAATGCAATGATAGAACATTGAGCCATTGTTCCACAAGGGGCGGATAACCAATGTCCATAAAAGTTGATAAATGTCCATAAATGCTGCTGAATGTGGAGTGTCCTGGATCATCACCGCTGTCCTTAGATCCTCCTGCAAGAAAAAATGAGATACCTCTGGAGGCCCACTTTTAGGGAAGGATCTGGACGGGCTATAGATCCAGGACTCAGGCTGTAGAACGACAACGGAGACTATGGCCTGAGACTTTAGTAATGCCTTGTTAAAATTACATGGATGACTGAATTAGACAACTATTTCAATAACTGATGAGTTGTCTGGTATGGCGTGTGATAGCAAAGTGACTTCTATCGTGCGTCTATCTGAAGGCACTTGGATACAGATGTGTTCCTCTTCGCTTTGGAGGAAGCGGAATTGCAGAAAAATCCAATTAATGCTGGATCCAGATAAGCAGAAACCAAAATAGAAAGTGCTTTTCCTTCGTATGGTTTTCTAAATCAAATGGTACGTCAGCTGAAGAATAATGTGAATCAGGCTGTGTTGTTTAGTTCATGCTTCACCTGAAATCCACCCAAACCACCCTTCTCGTATTTTTAAAAAATTTGTTCAAGATCCTATATATAACAGAGAGGCAAATGAAAATGAAATGTATTGATGTATTAGTAACAATCAGGCCATAATTCCAGACAAGCGTGGCTGCTTTACATCCATCAGCAGAACCACAGCAAATGTCTGACTGTGTAATATTGTAAATCATAAATGATATATGAATATTAGGAGTGAACCGCAGAGCTGCTTGTAGTATCCGCGCCAGATGTCAGCGTAAACAAGGCATAAATAAGACCAAATGATAAACACATGCTAATGGAACAGAACACAAGCTAACACAGCCAAAAGCATAAATAGTTATGAGTCCATAAAACTTTATCCGAGCCACAAAGACTCGGCTGGAACAAAAGAGACAGTCGTAGAATTTATGTCCACCGATAACCGCAGCCGTGTTTTGGAATAACACCAAAAAATACTGAGCTTTGAAATACGGCCGCGCTGTCATGTGACCCAGGGGAACTTCC